AAATATGGCGCGGTAACAGTCTGCTTTGAAGTCTGGTTCCTAGACATCTAGTAGCTAGGAGGTTATGCAGTGGACCATGAAATCCGGTTTTACATCAGTTGTGTTTACTAACATTACAGCGAACAAAGGCATATTCGCTTCGTTTATATTACTTATATTCGTTAGGCGTAATTCGTTTAATATAGAGTCTCGGCTTTCAAATTCACCTGATGGCATTGTTGCTAAAGTATATAGTGAGTACCAGGTTCTGAAGCATAAATGGTGACGAGAGGTAGATCGACGAAAAGATGCAAAATGAGTTGCTATTCCGCAATTTCTAAAGTACTATCGAACAGTGGCCTGCAAATTTGCTTCTTCGACATCTGGGAGCAAGGAGGCATGAAATATACCGTTTATAATATTTCAGTGAAATTATGTTTATTAGTTTTTCTGCTACTGCTTGAAAATGCCCAGGCTCTCTGAAACGTTGATCCATGATAAAGTCCCGCGGCCTGAACTTGCTCGATGCATAGCACCACTGCATTTAAAGAGTACGTTTTGGCATTTGCATTCATTTAACAGACAGATTTTTGTCAATTACATTCTGGTTAATTCATAAAAGAGTCAACCGTGGTACTAACATTAGCAGGAGAAAGGCTGTTCGTTTGTTTTAGCATCGTTGTTAGCTGCGCCGGTCAATAAGCGAAACTACTCTAAAACCGGGTTTTACCATGCATGGCTCGGCGCCGTTAATTTTATTGGGCGACGACAACGGCTGAATTGTACTAATTGCACGACGCATATACACACTACAGATTCTAAAATATTCTGGGTTGTTTCCTACTTTTATGATTCCCTCAGCATATAGAAGTAAATGGGCAACGCCGAACGATGTGAACCCTGGTTTTTAAGCAATCAGTCGTTCGTTAACATGCTCCATACGTGAGCGTCTGTCTACTTTAACTAAATGTACTCACGTTTTGCGCAGGGTTTCTTCGTCAGTGGCTAGCGCTTGACACTCATCGTCGACCTGTTCGGTACCTGCGGGACACTTTTCGACTAAACACGAACACGTTACCGCAAAACTTAACACTCGCATCAGCGTTATACGTTGAACATGTGCATAATTTGGGGATACTTACAGCATATGCCGAGCAACGAGAAGCCCTTTCGACAACGACACTGAGTCATATCCTTTACTGAGTCGCTGTAGCAGTATCCGTGCTTGCAGTGCCAGCTGCATTCACGGTCTTCGACGCAGTTGAAATCACCGATTTGCTTTTTCCTATAACGAAATCATTTAGGCGTTTCGTTTCGGTCTATTGCAGAACGTACACGACGCAGCTGCTATTCAAGCATAGCTCTTCCGGGGTGCACGTATTGTCCGTACTGCAATAACGCCGGAGATCTTCGCTCGGCCTCCAGAAGGCTGAAAATATAGTCCGCTTTTCAAGTAAAAAATTCATCCATTGTTCAGGGATTGTGGCATGGTTAAAAGACTTATATATTCTATATTCTATATTTTTTCTATTCTAAAAACTATATTCTTTTTACTCTACATTTTTAAATGCCTATGGGGCATCTAATTCTTTCGAAATATCTCACGATGAATATCTGATCCAAGAATAACTTTCTACAAGTCTCTAGTCGGTAAACCGCTTATTCTTATTTTGCTCAAATTATAAACATTTA